CATTTTCAGAAAGTGAATTACCTAGAAATGGATAGCTTGGTTTACTGTGTAAAAAGGCCAGATAAGACTAAACTGATATGCTGTCAAGGCACTTTTGATCCATTTGGTGAAGACAGCTCAGATATTTGTTCATCTTCTTGAGGTGTATTAGATGTTTAATGTTTCCTTTCTGGCAAACCCGGCAACTTTTCAGGCTTACTGGTAAATTGCATTGTGTCATAACATTATTATTGTGGATTGTAATAGTCTCAGAGGATATATTTAACTTTGAGCATAGTTAGCTTTTTCACAAAGTAAAAATTGGACTGACAATAAATTTTGCAAAGTTTTTCATGTGATTTAACCACCATTAAGTGAAGAATCTAATGTAAAAAAAGTTCAGCAAAGTACTTGTGTAGAGACAAAATAAATAATGAAAATTGATTATTCTATTGGTGGACAAAGATGTGGCAGCAAAGTTGGTGTTACTTTTTACCTTAATTAATTTTAAAATTAAGAGTTAATGTATTCTGCAATTTTATCTGCAAAAAATGAGATGTGTTTGAGACACAAATACACTTATGTGAAATGAGAGACATGGTAATCAGATATCGTTAGTCATTCTTCTCCTCTCCACTCACCATCACGCAATTTTATCTATGTTGATTTTTAATTCCTTCTGAGTCCTCTTTAATAGATATCACTTTGAAATGTACAATTATGTAGCAGTTTTTAATATATTAAATACTTGCTAGCAAGTATATTATATATTAAAAACCGCCACATAAGCAACCCAACTTCCCCCTCTCTCATACGTACCCTCTCCAACTCTCCACTCACACCACTCTCCACAACCATCTCTCCTGTACACCCGAAAATCCTCTCCGCATCACTCTCTCCTCCCTCTTCTCCCTCCAGCAAACCCACCTGCATTTCCCTCCAAAACGTCCGTTCCCTCTCAAATAAAGCCCTCACCATCCACGACCTCATTCTGGACGAGCACCTTGACATTCTTGGGCTCACCGAAACCTGGCTCTCCCCCAATGACCTTGTTCCCCGAGTGGAAGCCTCCCCTCCATGTTACACCTCCCACCACACCCCTCGCCCAAACTAACGTGGCGGAAGGGTGGCCTTCATTTCCAAAGCCTCCCTTGGTCTTACTCCCTCCTCCTCTGGCTGCTTCTCTTCCTTCGAGCACCTCACCCTCTTCCACCCCTCTCTCCCATTGAAAATCCTCCTTGTCTACCACCCCCCTAAGCCCCCCGGCTCCTTCCAAACAGACATCTCTGCTCTCCTCTCTTCCCTGTCCCTCTGCTCCGAGCGCCTGGTCATAATGGGCAATTTCAACCTCCATCTAAAATCCCCTTGTACTATTTCTGCCGACTTCACTGCCCTCCTCTCCTCCCTAAACCTCACTCTTCATATAAATTTACCCACCCACAACCGTGGTTATACCCTTAGGAATGCCCTCAGGCTACCCCCTGAGACCCTCACAAAGACCCCTCGCATCATCAAACATCCTATCCCTCTGGCTTTCCACCCGCGGGGATCCTGAAGCAGCCGTCCAGCTGCTCCATGATCGCCTCTCCTCCACCTTCAACTCCCTCGTCCCCCTGAAATCCAGGACCATCTCCAAACCCACCCGATCCCTTTGTACAACAACCATCTCCGCCGCCTAAAAACCCAAACCCGGCTGCTCGAACGCAGATGGTGGAAAACTGGCCTACAGTCCACCGCCATCTGTGGCTCGAGCATCTCCATAGCTACCGTCGTTCTTTGACACGCGCAAAAACGGCCTTCTACTCCAACATCATCTTGGAGGCTAAACACAACCCTAAAATCCTTTTTTCCACCACCCACTACCTCCTCCGTACCCCCCCCTCAGACCTCCTCAATCTTCATATCAAATGCCAAGTGCGAGGAGGTCATGGACTTCTTTTCATCTAAAATTCACAACATCCGCCAGGGAGCCTCATCCACCTGCCCCTTGTCACCCACCACCACGCCCTCTCTGTCCCCCTCAAGCCTCCTCATCACCTACTCCTACCACCACCTCAATCCTACATTCCTTCCTCCCCATCTCTTCCTCCTCCCTCTCACCCACCATCACCTCCATGAAACCCACCACCTGCTGCCTCGACCCCCTCGCCACCAACTTGCTGGTCACCCAACTCTGCCTCCTTTGCCCACTACTGGCTGATGTCATCAACCATTCCCTCTCCTCCGGATCAGTCTTTGCCCCCCCTCAAAACTGCTGGCATCACTCCCCTCCTCAAAAAACCTTCCCTGGATCCCTCAAACCCCAGCCACTACTACCCCATTTCTAACCTGCCCTTCCTCGCAAAAGTCCTAGAACGCGTTGTTGCCAATCAACTTCGTGCACACCTCTCCTCCCACTCCCTCTTCGAACCCCTCCAGTCCGGTTTCCACTCTGCCCACAGTACAGAGACTGCGCTTGTGAAAGTCACAAACGACATCCTCTCTATCTGTGACCAGAGCTCCCTCTGCCTCCTTGTCCTCCTGGACCTCTCTGCCGCGTTCGACACAGTCAATCATGCCATCCTCCTCCACCGCCTTTCCTCCGTCATCCACCTCAGTGGGACCGCACTCGCCTGGTTCGAGTCCTACCTCACAAACCGCCAGCAGTACATTTGCACAAACGGCTTCTCCTCCTGCCTGGTTACCTGCGGGGTCTCCCAAGGATCCATCCTTGGTCCCCTCCTCTTTCTGATCTATATGCTCCCTCATGGGGATGTCATCCGCAGACCTGGGGTACATTTCCACATGTACGCGGACGACATCTAACTCTATTTTTCCACTTCTCTTTGCGACCCCCAGTCCCCTGATGTTCTGTCAGCCTGCCTGGCAGACCTCAGGGGCTGAATGAGCGCAGATTTCCTTCAGCTTGTTGGGATTTCCGATCCCGTAGTTCGAAATATGACTCGACAATCTAAATATGGTGTAGCAAGGTTTATTATGAACAGAGTGAACACAACATGCATTAACAAGTTACTACAATGTCTAACAAATTATACTACCAGTCTTTGATGACAGTCACACAACGTCATGGAACACCTTCCTTGTGATTCTTAAAGGGACCGCTCCACACTTGTCTCTCTCTCTCTGGAGCCTTCCTGTTCTTCGTCTAACCATTCTCACCTAAAGGTGCGATAGTTATACCCTTTCTCCAAGTGTTCTTCCTACAGCCCCTCTACCCACTTCTGATACAGTAACGTACTCAGGTTAATCAATCATTTGGCTTGGTGCCATCCTGACTGGGTCTTCTTGAGATCTTTTCTTTGTCCTGTCTTAATAAAATGATTTAATCAGTCTATGCTGTATCGGGTGCTCATTATTTTGGTATGTGGGATCGTTAGTACATTCCTTTTAATTGACTAGTTACCCCTTATCAATACTACCAGGATGGTACCAAACTTCTCCATGTTGAACAACTTGTTCATTAATTGCTATTCTTGAGGGTTGCCTTCTGTTGCTTGGCAGCCCTGTCAGAATCTAGAGACTTATTGCTAAGGCGAGATCCTGTGTCGACTGGTACCTTGGACCGTTACCTCTGTGGGCTTGTTGTTATCTACTGGTAGGAGGTGACCCCCTGCCCTTTTCCAAAGCTGTCTTATTATTCTTTCAGAAACAGAGAAAACCAGATGTGTCCTATCCCATGACTGTCAGTATTTTCTCCATTCTACATTTGTTTGATGTTCATTATTATTAGATTACAACTTCTATAATCTTAACAAGCTGAACGTTGACAAGATGGAAGCCATACTCTTTGGCTCTTGTCAACGTCTAAAATCTCACAGCTCTCACCTCCTCCACCTACACGACCTCCCCCTAAAACTCTCTGAACCCGTGCGCAACATAAGCGTCAGGTTCGACCCCCAATTATCCTTCCTGCCCCAGATCCGGTCCCTCACCAGCACCGCCTTCTTCCACCTCCGATGCATTGCCCATCTCCGCCAATACCTCTCTCCAAAAGCCGCTGAAACCCTAGTCCATGCCTTTAATAATAATAATAATCCTTGCATTTGATATAGCGCTTTTCACGTCAGGAGGACGTCCCAAAGCGCTTCACAGAACACACTGTAAAGTGAATTGACTGTATTTTTTGTGGGCGAACGCGGCAGCCAATTGCGCACAGCAATGTCCCACAAACAGTCGTAGATTGAAAATGACCAATTTATTATTGTTTTGGGTTTTGGAGCGAATATTATTAGGCGTGTGGAGTAAGGAAACTTGCCCAAGGTTTCGCCCTCTGCCTGGAATTGAACTCAGGTCTCTCGCTTGCAAAGCGAGTGCTCTAACCACTGAGTTACAGGACTCCACTTCTCTCCAAAAGCACCCGAAAGCCTGGTCCATGACTTTGCCACCTCTCGGCTGGACTACTCTAACGCCCTCCTCGCCGGTCTCCCATCCACTGCCATCCATAAAATCCAGATCATTCAAAACTCTGCCGCCCGCATTCTCACCCACACCAAACTCCGCTCCCCGATCACCCCAGTCCTTGCCAGGCTGCACTGGCTGCCTGTCCCAGAGAGGATCAACTTCAAGATCCTCACCCTTGTATTCAAATCCTTCCACCTCTCTGACCTCCTCTCTCCTCAAAACAGTACCCGTTGCCTTTGTTCCTCTGGGTATGGCCTCCTCCGAGTCCTCCGCTCCACCCTTGGCGGCCGTGCCTTCAGCCACTATGCCCCGAAGCTCTGGAATTCCCTTCCTCACTCCCTTCACCTCACTCCCTCTCTTCCAATTTTCAGGTCCCTGCTGAAGACCTTTCTTTTCGACCGCGCCTTTGGTCACCTTCCTCCCCATCCCCCTGGCTCCCGGGATCCGTTACTGTGAAGCGCTCTGAGACACCGTCCGGCGTGGAGGGCGCTATATAAATCCAGTTGTTGTTGTTGTGTTGTAACATTTAACAATTCTGTCATGAATTGTACAAAAAGAACCTGCAATGTTTTCTCTTCAGTGCATCTTAACTGTTCTAACTCTGGGTTTTACATTTATAGAGCCATTATATTATTGGCAGCAAACTGAAGAAGATCTGACTGTAACAATGCAACTCCCAGTGGATACCACAAAAGAGAATGTAGATTTTCAGTTATCATCAGTTCACATGAAAGTTGGAGTGAAAGGCCAAGCCAATTCCATGGAGGGTCAGTTGTACTCCTCAGTTGAACATGATGCCAGCACTTGGATAATAAAGGACAACAGGCAAGTTTTTTTTATTAAAAATTTCTAGGCAGTGAACTTAATCTGGAAGTGGATGTGTCCTGATTAGGTCATCGAATTACACAGCTTGGATTTAACATTTTAGTAATTAGAATCAAAGTACAAATATCTGATTGAATATTTAGAATATTAGTGTGGCCTCTGGAGCAAAGAGTTTTCCTTTGGAGTTTGTTCTCTTTATTCTCCACTAGTTATTTTACTTAATATGTTTCTATCTACTTCAAATATGACTTAGCCATTTAACATGGTTGCTATCTTGTTTCATTCTCCTATCTATTTATGTAAACAACCGTTAACACCTATCCCTGTCCCATATGCCGCAGTGATGTCTGATGCCTTTTCACTCCTGTTGTAAATCACATTAGCCCTATTCAGTTATCACCAAAATATTTATTATCCTTGTATTTGATTATAGTGACTTATCACGATGAATGCTTCAATATGCTTCACAGAGTTTTCTGTAAAGTGTTGACATTGTATTGTAGGCGAATAATAATAATAATAATCCTTGCATTTGATATAGCGCTTTTCATGTCTTCTAGACGTCCCAAAACGCTTCACAGAATATACTGTAAAGTGAATTGACTGTATATTTGTGGGCGAACGCGGCAGCCAATTGCGCACAGCAATGTCCCACAAACAGTCATGGATTGAAAATGACCAATTTGTTATTTTTTTTGGGAGGGATTATTATTAGGCGTGTGGAGTAAGGAAACTTGCCCAAGGTTTCGCCCTGCCTGGAATTGAACTCAGGACTCTCACTTGCAAAGCGAGTGCTCTAACCATTGAGCTACAGGACCACAGCTACAGAATGCTGCAGCCAATTTGTGTAGAGGGAAGAAAGGACCGAGTACTTAGAACAAACTCTTTTGGGGCTGAGCTGGCTTGAGAATCAGTACTTAGAGAGCTTACTTGGCAACCACAGTACTCCAGTACTCTCCAGAAGTAGGGAAGAGTGCATCTCTCCAGGGATAGAGTGTGCATTACATTCTGGATATGGAAATTTCCATGTGTAGATTGTATGCATACATGGAACTCTGTTAGGGGGTTAGGAGGTCGCAGAGGTAGGGTGGGGCGAGGCCATGGAGGGCTTTGTATGTGAGGACCAGGATCTTGAACTGGATCCTCTAAAGGATAGGGAACCAATGGAGTCGGGCGAGAGTGGGGGAGATGGAGTCATGGAGTTTGGTGCGGGAGAGGACAAGAGCTGCAGAGTTCTGGATTATCTGCAGCCCGTGGAGGGAGGAGTTGGGAAGACCGACAAGCAGGGCGTTTGCATAGTCGAGCCTGGAGATGATGAAGGCATGAACAAGAGTTTCAGTGGCCTGAGGGGTGAGGTAGTGGCGGAGTCGAGCGATCTTACGAGGTGAGGGAAGGCAGAGCGGGTCATGACTTGAATGTGGGGGAGAAAAGGCAGTTGAGGGTCGAACAAGATACCTAGGTTCCTGACTAGCTTGGTGAGTTGAAGTGTGCAACCATGGAGGTTGATGCTGCCTGAGCCTGAGGTGCAGAGGCGCTGGCGCGAGCCAATCAGGAGGGCCTCAGTCTTGGGATGTCCTCCCGACGTGAAAGGCGCTCTATAAGTGGAATCTTGTTGTTGTTGTTGTTCACATTCAACTGTAGGAAATTTGCCCTCATCCAGGACTTGATGTCCGACAGTCAGTCTGTCAGGACAGCAGTGTTCCTGGAGTTGAGGGTGAGGCAGAAAGATAGAGTTGGGTGTCATCCGCATACATGTGGAAGTTGACCCCATGTCTGCGGATGATGTCACCAAAGGGGGAGCATATAGATATTAAAGAGGAGAGGGCCAAGGACAGAGCACTGGGGGACGCCAGACATGACAGTGTGGAGGAGAAACCATTAGAGGCAACAAAGTGGAGACGGTGAGAGAGATAGGAATCGAACCAGGCAAGGCCAGATCCGTGAAGATTGAGCAAAGCGGAGAGGTGGCATATAAGGATAGAGTGGTCGACAGTGTCGAAGGTGGCAGAGAGGTCGAGGAGGACAAGGAGGCAGAGGGAGCCCTGATCACAGATGTTCAGAATGTCATTGGGTACTTTGACCAGGACTGTTTCTGTGCTATGGGCAACGCGGAAGCCGGATTGGAGCGGTTCAAAGAGGGAATGGCGAGAAAGAAAGGAGTGGAGCTGGGACGTGACGACTCGTTCCAGGACCTTGGAGAGGTCCTGGAAAAATTGCTTTCAGCATGAGGGAGAAATTTCTTTATCTTCATTTACTGGAGCCACTATTTTTAAACTTTGAAGTCCTGGAATTTGCAGTTTGTTGTTCTGCACATGTGCTCATGACCCCTTTTCCGTTGCAGTGTGCCTATGACAGGAAGCGCTGTCATGGGCAGATATCTTGTGTAAAAGCAGTACATGAGCCATACTCATGCTAATCGGTTACTCTGACTAGATTCAATTCATCGCAAAACATTTTATTTCATCAAGTCTCGGTAGATCTTTAATTCAATCAAAGCTTCTGAACATGCTAAATAATAAATCGACTGCAACAATTCTGCCGAACAACAAAACTTCAGACTAATCAGATGAAGTAATTCATTGAAATGGATTAAATGAATTTGAGATTCTGCACATCCATTTATCTATGTGTCCTTCATTAGCTCTTTAGAGCTAAGGGATGTCCTGTCAGCTATCCTAATATGCTTATTAAATTTAATTGAAGTAAAGGATGTGCTCAATGTGTAATACTTTGAAATATTATAAAGGCTTAACCTTGTCTGTCGGCATCCAATTTGTCAGTCCCCTGAGGTCTGTTGGTTTGGTTCCTATATATTTTCCTGCAGCTAGGGAATGTACAACTGGTGTTTGTTTCTCAAAGAAACCTGCTTGTTGTTTGTTCCTCATCTCCAGTTATTGCGCCAAGTGCTCACTCCTATTTGAATCTGACAGTCTGGTTCAGCAGGGAAATCTTTTGTTGTGACCAAATCCTCTGGTGGACATTCAGTACATTCTGCTTCTATTGAAAATCATGCCTTCTGGTTCTCATCTGGATACTGCTTTATTGTCCCAGCAGTTATTTGAGTGGAGTATGCAGTCAGGGAAGCCCAAACCATCAAAAAAACTTGAGCTTGTCTTATAGTTCCCTTTATAGTTCCCCCTCACTTTGCCCCTGCTTCCTTATCCCTGCTTTTGCGCCCTCTCCCCTCTCCCTTCTTTCCTGCCGATCTGGCTCCAAGGTGCCATGGTTGACAGTGCAGTTTCTGAGACAGGCGGGTCTACGGTACTCCAGGGCACTGCTGATGAAAGCACAGCCAGCCTGGCTCATCAGTTGGACCTGGGTGGGGGTGAGGGGCGCGGGAGGTGACCCGTCATTGGGGTAAGGATTTGTCGTGCTCAGCTTTTATTAAGCCTGTAAGCCAGTGCCCTAAAGCAGCATGGATCAACAGGCGGCATGCAACCATTCCCACCATTCCAACTTACATTCTCTGGTGAACGTTCTTCCAGGGCTGCAGCAGGAGCCGGCGGTTGGGAAGACAGTGCGCAGAGCCTTTTCTGCAGTCTGTCAGAAAGGCAAGCACGTCTCTTACCAACCATGTCCTCAGCAACCAACTGCCAGTTCCTGCTGCTGCAGATAGGAGAGAGATTGGGAGAGAGATTGGGAGAGAGAGGGGGCAAAGAGAGGAGAGAGAGAGTGGGGGGCAGAGAACAGGGCAAAGAGAGGGCAGCAGAGATAGGGGGGGGAGAACGTTCACCAGGGAGGGTCGAGTTGGAATGTTGGAAATGGTCTCGGATGTGGCTCGCAGGCCGCCAACTGGCCCACGCTGGATGTGGACCTTTCTCAAATAGGGAATGTGACCCGCAGTAGCCAAAAGGTTGGACCACACTGCCCTAAATTGTTTGGTGGTCCTAGCTGGTTAACTTCATCAGTATCTCGTGGGAAACAGATGTCTGCAATTTAAAGAAGTGTGCAGCTGCATTCATCCCTTTTTTCTTTTAGTATCCATCAGATGAATTCATCTAAAAATATTTAAACTATTTACTGGGATTCCCAAGACTGTCTCTTTCCAGTATCTGCCTAATAAGTTTGCCAACAAAATGTACCGTCGCTGTACTTTGCCGTATATCTTGTGAAACAACATGAAAGGTGATTATTATTATTTTAATACTCTCAGAATTAGGTAAGCAGGATGCAGTCCCCTCCAAGGGGAAAGTGCATTCCAATCTAAAGCACACAAATGTTCATCTGTAGGGGGAATGCATTGAACTCTGTTTGGATTGGATACTCTTAAGCATGGTGATGGATTTCCCTATATGTCGGACACCTGGCTGACCCAAAAAAAAGAGCTGTGATCGTCATATGAAGATATTTTTGATCAATTGTATTTATACCACTTTTTTTTTAAAGGAGACTATTATTTTTTGGAGGCTTTATTACTCCTGGAAAGTGGTCCCCCAATCGACTTAACCACTGTGTTCCTACTTACTGCTAAGTAAACAGGCGTGTGGAGTAAGGAAACTTGCCTAAGGTTTCACCCGTTTGGAAACTGGGTCCACTCGCTTGCGAGAAGAGCGCGATAACTACTACACTATTGGATTCCACTTGTGACTTATTGAGTGTGGTAGTGTGCTAGGTTTCCAGTTCCCTGATTAAACAAATGATGGCTTAACAAAATATTGAAGTAGGTTGATTCCAAACAATGAGCCAATTTCATTTAATATTTTCTTTGGCTACAGTATCTTCTTCCCAATTGTAGTGAGTAGCCACTTGAATGATTTTAAATATGTATGAATCAAGGGATGCCTATAAATTGATCTTCATTTGTATAGTGTTTGACTTCTCGACCTTTATAACATTTTTGCTGGCATGAATAGCACTTGACTTAATGGGGCTGCTCTAAAAGGGAGTCTAAAATGCACTAAAATGAACTGTGGTTGTGCATCTGAACACTTATCTTCCCCACTCAAAACAAATAGAGCAACTTTAAATAATATATATATATATAGTGGAAAACACATGTCAGCAATTTAAAGAAGTGTGTATCTGCACTCCTCCCTTTTCTTTCTTTTAGTATCCATTGGATGAATTCATCCACAAAAATTGAAACCTATTTTCTAAATCTATTTTAACCCAAAATATTTAACTTAATTCTGCATTGCAATATTTTGAGGTTTTTAATATAGAAGCAGAAAGAATTGCTTTTGTCGTGATTCTCTTAATTGTAGGGATTTTTATATTGTTTCTTAAATTAGCTGTGGTTACACTAACTTTCTTCTAGATGTTAATATCTATTAATACTTCTGTTTCATTGTTAATCACCGTAATCAATGCTCTTTAAATATGTGTTTCTGCAATTTGTTTATTTTGTTGTGGGTTCTTGCCCACCTCTTGTCAACTTAGACAGTAAGTGTTAGCAGCCTATTAAACACAAGATAACTATTACTAGAACAAGAATCTATTATTTATTAAAAACAAGTTACTCAACGTTCCTTTGTTTTTGTCTTAACACTATGCAATATATTTGACCAATTCTTAAAACAGTAATATCAGTCTCACTTTTTAATTTTCACTGTAGGATATAATGATTGCTGGAGACCCATCTTGAACAAGTGTCAGCATGACAGTGTTACAGATTATTCAATTTGTTGGTTTTTGACCATTTCTTGTAGTCCCATCAGTTTCTTGTAGTACTTAAATAATAAATTACAGTTTGGATTTAGATTAAGTAGAGGAATTGAAAAATGATGTATGTGCAATCAAGGATATCTTCATTTCCTTTGGCATTAATAAAAATAAGATCTTCCTCAAATTTGAATTACCATTCGATGACATCGCTTAATACTACGATAAACCAATAAGTCTAAACTATAATTAGATTTTTAACCTTTTTAGGAACAAATGTCATATTTCAGGGAGATTACAGATCTGTTGAGCAAATGAAAATTGACTGCCATACAGTTGGATAATAAATGTTTCTAATCTAAAAGGCATGTTTGCAAAAGGTCTTGGATCTCAAAGCTGCTCCTGTTTGATAAGGGAAAAGTCTACTCAATGTTATGATAATGCAGTAACTAATCTGCATGACATAATTACCTGGTGAAGTCACCCAGAGTAAGAATTGTAAGGCTTCTCAAGCAAACCTAATGTATAGATGGAAGCAATTTTCAAGTGTGAAGCTTCACAAATAAATCTTATTGTGAACATCAGTGATTTTCAGAACCGGATAAACTTGTTAATCTGATGTTCTGCACAGAAAGTCAGGTTCAAATATTGTAAAACCAAATACATTGTCTGAAGGAGTTATGCTTGTCAAGCATCAGTCACAAATTAATTTTGCTTTAACTGTGATTGTGTTCCAAAAAAAACCAATTAAAAACAACAAGCAGCTAAAATATTTAGCCAGTATCAATGCAGGAAAAAAATACTTATTCCAGAATTTATCAGTGGGTATCAATTTTGTAGTCCTCCCAGAATACTGAGCCTACTATCTTATACATTACAATACAATTTATATTTATATAGCGTCTTTCACATCGTGAGGACATCTCAAAGCACAGGATTGTAATGTTTTTCACTGAATTTAGTGTCCTGGCCTCAATCAGCTATCCTGGGACCCATCCCAGCTGTTCACTACCTCCTGTGAAGGAATGCTTTCTGGTGTATGTCCTAAGATTGTCCTTCACAAACCTAAACCTGGGCCCTCTCGCCTGCTGGCTTGATGTATTTAAAAGTATTATACATCATCTGGATCTGAAAGAGAATTTAGGAGGAACTACTTCATGCAGAGGGTAATGAGATTGTGGAATTTGCTGTTTGAAGTGGTTGTTGAATCAAGTAGTATAGGTGCATTCAAGAGGAAGCTAGACCTTCACATGAGGGAGAGGGGAATAAAAGGGTATGGGAGGGATTAAGGAGTGGGTACAGACTTGTCTGGAGTATAAACAATAGCACGGACTGGTTGGGCCAAGTGTCCTGTTTCCTTGCTGTAATTCTTTGTATTGTTGATAATTTTGAATGAAAGATTAAAATTGTGTACACTTGTATTATTTTTACTTGATTTTTATCAGAATTTCTGTTTTTAAGCACTCCCAAAATGCTGCCTCATGTGAATGGCGCCATATAAATACAAGTTGTTGTTTTCAGTGCATCCTGTAAAATGCAGTTAATATTCTGTCACCTTTATTTTGCAACTACAAGCAATTCACGTTTAGATTAATTAAGCTTTCAATACACAGTTTAGGCCTCAGGAAAAATAGTGAGATTAATGATTTAATTCCAATGTGCTTTTTTTTAAAAGCAAGTTTACATTCTTTATATCTAATCATTATAGTTTGGAGATTTTCCTATTAAAGAAAGATAAAGGAGTTGTGTGGCCAGAGCTTGTGCTTGGTGACCAAAGAGGAGAATTTATCACTGACCCTGCTCAAGCTTCAGCAATAAATGAACGTTTGCTCAATCTCACTGAAGAATTGGTAAGTTTTTCTTTTTTTAAAAAATTATCTGTGAATTACCACAAAATATAATTAAAATAATATGAAAGAGTTGTTTTTGTTAATATTCCTGATTTTGAACCACAGTAATACTATAAAAACAAAATCCGGTTATTATGAAAATGTTGCTTTGAATTTGCATCTAAATTAATTGCCTTCCCACTCTTTGGAGAGAGATCCAGCATATAAATTCTTCCTCTCTGAATTTCTTAATTATTTTGTGAAATACCTTAATCATATAAGTTATTTACTAAAATATATCCTTTGGCAATAATAGGTTACCAACAAGAACTGTTTAGTAGTAAACTATTAAGCCAGATTGTGGATGTTACAGTATTTCCAGAACTTGAGGCTGTCAAATTATTAAAGGTTGGTTGGAAATGTATTCCATAGCAACTGTTCCCAGTTGATAACGTACTCAGGCAGCTACAGACAGTGAGCAAGAACAAATTGTTGGATGTCTTTGATTCCACAAAGTGCTTAGGAATTACCTTACTTTTTCTTCCGAAATTCATTAGAAAATCCAAAGTGACTTAATTTTCGATTGTGTTTATCTGAAATCCTATACCTATTGCAAATTAAACATTTGCCAAGGTGGACTGGAAAGAAAGATTGGCAGGTAAAACAGCTAATGAGTAATGGGAAGCCTTCAAGGAGGAAATAGTTTGGGCACAGATCAAATAAATTCCCATAAAGGGGAAAGGTGGGGATCCAAACCTCCCTGGATGACTAAGGAAATTGAGATTAAAATAAAATGGAAAAAAGGAGGCTTATGCTAAATGTCAGGTCCAAAATACAGAAAATAATCAAATAGAATATTGCATCTGTCTTCATAAAAGAAGAGGATGCAGCCAATGCCACAGTATCGGAGGAGAGGGTAGAGAAATTGGATAAGATAAGAATAAACTGAGAAGTATTGAAAAGGTTGTCAGTGCTCAAGGTAGATACGTCACCCGGTCTGGACGGGATGCCTCCTAGGTTACTGAGGGAAGTATGGGTGGAAATAACAGAGGCTCTGACCACAATCTTTCAATCCTCCTTGGACACCGGAATGTTGCCAAAGGACTGGAGGGTTGCAAATGTTACTCCCCTGTACAAAAAGGGGCAGAAGGATTAACACGAGAACTACAGGCCAGTCAGCCTAACGTGAGTAGTGGGGAAATTTCTAGAGACTATAATTTGGGACAAAATAAATTTTCACTTAGAAAAATGTGGGTTAATAAAGAACAGCCCACACAGATTTGTTAAAGGGAAATCATGTCTAACAAACCTAATAGAGTTTTTTGATGAAGTAATGGAGAGGGTGGATGAAGGTAGTGCAGTTGATGTAGTTTGTATGGATTTTCAAAAGGTGTTTCATAAAGTACCATACAAGAGATTTGTAAGCAAAATAGAAGCCCAAGGTGTTCAAGCGACAGTGGCAGCATGGATACAGAACTGGCTGGGAGTCAGAAAGCAGTGAACGGTTGTTTTTCTGACTGGAGGGAAGTGTGCTGTTGTCAGTATTGAGACCAATGCTATTTTTGATCTATGTAAATGACCTGGTCTTGCGTATATGGAGTTTGCAATGTTTGCAGATGGGATTTGCAGATTAAGCTAGGAGAAGTAGTAAACAGTGAGGAGGATAATAGCAGACTGGAAATGATCATAGTCAGACTAGTAAAATGGGCAGAAATGTGGCAGATGAAGTTTAATGTAGAGAAATGCAAAGTTTTGCATTTTAGGAGGAAGAATGAGGAAAGGCAATATGAACTAGATGGTACAATCTTAAAGGGGATGAAGGAACAGAGAGACCTGGGTGTTCATATAATTAAATCTTTGAAGGTGGCAGGACAGGTAGATAAAGCTGTTAAAAAAGCATACGGGATACTAGGCTTTATAAATAGGAGCGTAGAATAGTCAGGGAGTATGATGAATCTTTTTAAAACACTGGTTAGGCCTCAGCTAGAGTACTGTGTTCAGTTCTGGGATCCACATTTTAGGAAGGATGTCAAGGCATTGGAGAGAGTGCAAAGGAGATTTACCAGGATGGTACCAGGAATGAGGGACTTCAGTTATCAGAAGAGGTTAGAGAAGCTAGAATTATTCTCCTTGAAGCAGAGAAGGTTACAAGGAGACTTAGTAGAAGTTTTCAAAATTATGAGGGGATTCAATAGGGTGAACAAGGGGAAACTATTTCCACTGGCGGGTGGGTCGGTAACCCAAGGACACAGATTTAAAATAGTTGTTAAAAGAAACAGAGGGGAGGTGAGGAGAAATTTTTTCAGCCAGCGAGTTGTTCGGATCTGGAATGCATTGCCTGAAAGGGTGGTGGAAGCTGATTGATAACAACTTTTAAGAGAGAAGTAGATAATTATTTGGGAGGACAAGTTTGCAGGGCTATGGAGAGAGAGCGGGGGAATGGGATTGAATTGGATAGCTCTTTTCAAAGAGCCAGCACAGACACGATGGGCTGAATGGCCTCCTTCTGTGCTGTATAATTCTATGATTTGTTGATTTCAACTAGCATCATTGCATCAATCTTATTTCATACCAGAAGAATGGGACACTTTATTTTCTTGCACCACTCCACACTTAACCTGTTTTACTCGTTACACTCATTAGTTTAAATCATAAATGAATGTGCCGTGAAACTGGTTTACATTTCTAGATTTGTGACTCATTGTGCTTCGGTGCTGGTCTCTATAACATGGGATCTTTGAGGCTGCTTGCTCTAATGTTTAATTTCAAATTTTCTAATTGGGTAGAATTGCATTTTGTTTTTCTTTTTGAATGCGTCTGATGAATGGACTTTTGTGATCTCAAACGTTAGCAGAACTTCAAATCCAGTTAATCCTATTGTGTGTCAGCCTGGCTCAGTCGGTAGTAATCTCGCCTCTGAGTCAGAGGTTCTGAGTTCAAATCTCAAATTGGGTCCTTGAGCTCATGTTGTCTAGGCTTGCACTCCATTGGAGTCGTGGGGAGCGCTGCTTCATTGGAGGTGACGTCCTTTGGACGAGATGGTAAAGTAAGATCCTGCCCGCCTCTTTAGGTAGACGTTAAAGATCCAATGGCACTATTCAAAAAAAGGAGATGGTTTCTCCCATTGTCCTTGCCAGGTACCTCGCAACTAAAAAATTGACTATTCACTTCATAGCTGTTTGTGAGACATTACAATGTGAAAATTGGCTGCCGTGTTCAACTACAAAGTACAAAGTCACTACTCTTTACAGTAGATCCTGTGAAGCTCTTTGAGACATCTTTAAGATGTGAAAGGCGCAAGAGTAAACTCCTGGTTTACTCGACTCTTCGAATCCGGAAGTCATACCTAGCCAACCCGGGCGCCTGCATGCATGCACTGCACTGAGCAGCCTCACCTCCTTGCTGGCTTTCCCAGTGGCCAGGAAGATCACCTTTGAATAGGATTGATTGTTTGAATATTCTGATCTGCACTACCAATATATTCAAACAATCAATCCAATTGAAAGTCAATTTATTTGTGGTAGGATAAATTTTATGTGGTTGATAAAAGGATTGTTTGTGGGGTTAATGCCTGTTAATAGATGCTATTTTAGCATCTCATTTGAGCTATATCCAACAGTGATGACAAAAATGGAAGTGTTTCATTACCCAACACAGATATTCCTCACTTTGATTTGCTTTAAAAAGTGTTTTCTTTTTGGATATGGGTTACATGAAGATATATACAATGTGAGGATTAGATTACAAAATGGAAGTTAATCAAATATTCAAATCTTATCAAATAAGTGATTTTGTGATCATTCTTATGAGGTCTTTACTGTGATCTAATTCAATTAAGTGTTAATCTCTGCAAGAACTAATTATTGCAGTATTAAATAAATGTGTTGGTGATAAACTATGTGTGATATATTTTGAGATTATTATTCTGTGAAACATTTTCTGATGAAAAGTGTGGTATGCTGAGCTCCAACTGATGGCTCATTTAGTAAGTGTACTTTCTTGTGCAATATTTAGTCATGAGATAGTTGATCAAAGCACAGGTGGTATAAATCAACCAGGGCTGGAAAGGAGAAAAACAGACAGGGGTCCTCTTCTGATCACTGACCAATCTTTTGGGTTAGAAAATGTGTGGATGCTGGATGAGAACAAAATCAAGCTTTGCTGTGGTGACACCCATGCTTCAGTAATTGAATAATGCTTATGGTTTGAACTCTGAGAAGTGAGCACTAGGACAAGTTATAGAATGTTTACATTATTTTCTTTAATATTAACAGAATGCAGACCCCGAAAAAAGCAAGCCAGCTAGTAATGCACAAGAGCTGGAGGAATGTGACCACTTCCCTGAGGCTACTTCCAATCTAACTCGATTTGATGGCAATACTTTGAAACCTACTCATGTGGTAAGTGACATTTCTCAGACAAGTTGTAAAATATTAGAAAGTGGGTGTTGTAGCAGTACTACTGATATTTTATACCAGGCATCAATGGCTGTAACTCGAGGCTGAAGCTGGGAGCGTCCAGTTCAAGAATGGGCAGTGATTTAATCAACTAATTCATTGGGAAACCAAAAGGCTATGACATATTGGTAACAACCAAAAACAGCTGCATTGGTATCATAAAAAGTCCGTTTCAGGTTTTGCCAAATGAAAATAAAGATTGAGAAAATGGCTGGTTGAATATATCTTATACTGTTATTACCACCAGATGGAAAAATTTCAAAGAGCAAACAGCAACTAGAATGAGTTATTAGGAAGGATATTTGATGCTGAAATGTCAGGACACTTGATGCTAAAATGGGAAGAAGGAAGAATGGTTATTCTAGAAATATGCAATCAGAAGGGCATTCTTAATCCAAACCTTTTACCTGATGAAAAATAGGTTAAGAGGCATTTCATTAGACTTGTCACTCTAGATAGCATCTAATGTTCACTCATTACGAACAACCAGTTTGAGCAATTTCTGGATCTTGCTGAATATTATTCTTTGGACACGTGGCAAATAGGGAAAAAGATGGCTTAATTTTTGGCAGTTCTGTTTGTTCACAGATCTTTCAACTGGAAATTTATTTCAAGTAGTTTATATTCTGCATCTTCTTGGAAAATAAATGATGTATCCAAACCTTTGTATGGTATTGAAAAGGCCCCTGTGATGATGTAGAATTGCGAAGTTGCGTGATTTTTCCTTTGGTCTGAACCCAATCCTGCTTTAAGTGCTGCAATTGGAAGCATGCTTTCATTTCTTTTTTAAAAACCCATATAAAATAGGTGAGATGACCTTTCTCTGTAACACCTTTTCCTAGCATATTCTTTAATGAACATATATGGTCTAAACACTGGGTTCTTCATACAGAGATAATGTTTTCTTTAGGTCTGTCTTATAATAATGGAACTTCTGTTGAGATTTATTGGTTTGTGAAGTGTTGTCAATTGATCTTTCACTGTAAACATTTCTGCCTACTTGTTTCAATTTCAACTTGTATGTAATAAAATTGTAACTCTTATAAGTTAGCATTAGTACATTGAATAACATCACTGATAATATATTATCCTAAATAAAGGTGCTGTTTAAACTGTTTAGATTCAGTAACTGCTGTTGTGTAATGTATTTTCTTATAAAGGTGCACACTACTTTGATGAAATATTTGAAGCCATCAAAAATTTGCCTTGTGATGACTTAGTGTACTGAATATGATGTAGATTGAAGAGATGCTGGAAACCTTTTTCCTCTCCCTCTATCCCTGTTTATCATGAGATGTCATATCTTTATTACCTGTTCCAAATAAATCCAGCGTATTCTGGTTTTCAGAATCTAATCAATAATGTGCGTGCAGTTGCATTACATTTTATATGGCACCTAATGATTTTTGCTGCTACTTATGAAGGTCTATGTAATATTATAGTGCTCAGTGAAATCACATTTCATAAAAAAGTCACTGTAGAGGAATTGAAAAATGACAGTATCATGCATACTGTGAGTGGTTGATCAAAGCAGTACATTGAAATCATTAATGCTTTTTTTTTTACACAGTACAAATTCTCAAATATAGAGAATGGCATAAAGTTATGTTTTGGAAAATATAGTGATTTATTTCAACCAGTTTCCTTTCGGGTCATTAATGATGTTTTACTTCGCTGAAGGGCTTCTGAATATGATGTGATGAAATGAAGTGCAGTAGCTGAAGTCTGTCGGGATTCTCTTGTATTATAGTGTATTTTAATGCTTCTTTCATGGTGGGCATAAATTCAGTACATTAGATGGTCCTGTTCATCATAAATCTGTCTTGAGTTAGCATTAGCACTTTACTGAAGTACTATTTATTTGTTTTACGGTAACTTTTTATACTGCTGTTTCAAAATTCACTATTTTTTAACAAGGAAAAGGAAACTTAAGACCATTAAATCAGTAGTTAAGCACCAGACATTTTATTGTATCTGAAGAGGAATTGCAATAACCAAATTAAATTAGGCAGGCCAAGTGCCAACATCAGGGCTAATGGAAAAGCTGCTTAAACCATTTAGCATTGAGAATGACAATTGAGCATATTGCGGCATTAATTTTCAATGCGCAGATAGCTTCTGATGCTTTCCCTTCAGGATGAGTTCTTCATTTGAGTGACAGATGGGTCCTGTTTTCTTGGTCCCCTTATGAAATACCTGTCAGGTAATCAGGATGAACAGTCATATAATCACCTAAGTCATACATGCACCCAAGTCCCATTCAGTTACCTAGATTTTTTGCACTAGTTGTATTTTATAAACAAATCTAATCCTAACTCGTAACAGTGTTCCTCTATCCTCCATTGCTCTTCCACTTACTGGCTGTGTTGAATCACAGGAAATTACATCCTGACCCGTTGCCGCATAAGACACAGACTGATTTTTTTTTCAACACCAACTACAAGTTATTTGTCTCAGAAGCAAATTAGTAACTTGTCTCTTTTGCTATGGATGAGATAGTGAATCTTGTCCTTTACCACTGAATAATATCTCACTTGCCTGGCAAATGATCATATTTTACACACAAAACACCCTCCATTATCAGGTCAGCTGTTGACCTACTCAGTTATCTTCTAGTCAAAAAGAACTGAACATGCCCCCTTCTGGGCACACTTGTGTAGTGTGCACAGTCTGCTTCAGAAATCCAGAAGATCACCAAGTCAGGAAATGTGTAGATTATCTTAATTCAAAGAATGATGGCAACAGCGCTCAAGACGAGTGACCTACCTCTTAGCAAATAACTTGATGTTATTCTGTGTTCAAAATTGCAACATTTGTGCAGTCAAATGTGAAATATGAAAAGGTGTCTTCTAAGGTGATTGATTTTTTTAACTTCTCTGCAAATTGATGCTTCTGTCTGTTTGATGCCTGCCTGCAACTGGGTGTTTCATTAAAACTCCGGAAAACAGGTGGGGTGTGTCACATCTTGTAAAGCTTTTAGCCACCTCAGAGTCAGCTTTTGCATCAGTTTGACTAGTTAATTACTTCATTTTGATCTTAATGTAGCTTGGTTGCTTTTGAAAGGAGATATGTTCTTGATTATGGCTTGCCATATAACATTGTGATCTCTGCATAGATTACAGTTATTTTTGAAAACTTAGCTTTTGACATTGTAATTATATAGATTATCTGAAACATTTATTGAAATATTTGTGGTATCTTGAGATGGCATCCCAAGGTGAAGTTTCTAATTTTTAGATTGTGTTAGCAGAATTTTAAATTTTTAGCTGAAATGAAATTGTCATTTCAGAATAAGAATTAATGGTGGTTCAACAATTTATGTTGCAATTAGCTTCTCTGATATATTGTATACTGATTTTTCACTAATGATTGTTCCACTAGTCAAATAAAAAATCAGTATATCTACAATACCTGAAAATCTGTGCATTTTCCACATTCAAACAAAAACACAAAGGATACGCTAAAGAAGTGCAATAGTGATTGCCTTGTATTTCAGAAGAAAAATCTGTTTAATATATTCCTTTTATATTGAATAGGATGTTACGAGGGATGACTGGGTACAGATTTGAAAAAGATTGGACATGTTAGAGCTGTTCTCTCTGGAGTTGAGATGATTGAGATTGAAGGGGACCTGATAGAGGTTTTTAAAATTATAAATGGATTTGATAATTGGTATGGTATCCAAAAAATCCTAGCCTTTCCTCATTCTGTAAATTATTCCATTATGACCAAATATTTCCTAAATTGCATATAGAATAATAAATACAAAAGTATTAAAATGCATCATACATTAAGGTTTGTGTTACTAGTGGTATAATTGTTTAATGAGGCTTGAACCATCACTATATAATTGCATATTCTGAAAAATTCCATGCCAATTGTACATGTACGTGTCTGATTAGGTTCTGCCCCAGATTAAAGCGCAATCGCTAGAAAGTGGCTGCACAGCTAACTGCAGACATCTAGTAACCCTGCTGTCCATTTCTGGGATTAACCTTGAGACAGGGATCTGTGTTTCTGCAGCCTTTCTGATCCCATTGCTGTTGGATGCAAAGGCATTTGCCCAAGGCTACATGACAGCACAATTGCTGTGACCATGGGCATCAACAAGCGACTATTACATTGTTCCAAGGAAATTGTTTTTTTTGAGGACATCAGTCTAGAGTACTGATGATGGGAAATCGTACAACATAATATGCCTCAACTTTATTTCATTAGTTGGGAAATGGCATACAGTTTATACGTGCTGGATTACTCAACAATATTCACCTTTACATGCCAATGTTGTCTGAATGGAAGCCAGTGACTCCTCAGTATGGTCCCTATATTCTGTCAGCCATTTGGAAGCAAGTTCATTAAGGTGTAGTTTGGTTCTACTTGGATTGCACCCTGTACAGTTGACCCCTCATCACTGCTAACTTGGACCTCACTGGTGTTCATTGCACTTGTGCAGTCTTATTTACACTGAAGTGCGACCTGGAATGTTTATTTAATCTTGTTGAGATGAAATTGACATCACCTTCCACTCTTTAAATTTCAATTGTTTGTGTTTTTTTCACCAAGATTATGCGACCTGTTAAATGGAAAACAAATTTATTACAAGGCAGATAATCTAATTCAGTTAGCCCTAATTATTTCCCATTTTTGCTCCTTTGGTAGTTCCATGGGTTCCGTAAATATCTCGACATTTTCTGCTATTTTGGTATTTGCCACATCTTAATGAACGGATGTTTTCGTAATGAAAAAATTCAGACTTCATTAAGGGTTGAGAACTTGTTCTATGGAAATCGTTACTGTTAATGGTACCGTTCTATTGTTGTGACCTCAGTTAGAAATAGCAACCTTTGGCCTGCATGAGATGCATTGCAACGTCTTTGTGAAATGTTTTACTCTGTAAAAAAAAACTTTCAATTATGACTGTGTACATTGTAAAGGTTTCAGCTAACAAACACGTGTATTATAAATTATAAATTATAATTTTAGAACTAGGTTAGCTATCATATGTCCATTGATTTATGTTAAATTGCATTGCATTTTGCCACAGACTCCTGAACAACAATTTAATGTTTATATGCAATTTATTTTGTAGGTTTTGAGTTTTTCCCTTTGACTCCAAGTAAATGTTTGGCCTTTTTTTCAGGTTAATCTGGGAAGTAACCAGTATCTGTTCACAGCTGTGGTAGATCCAGCAGAGATGCCATGTTTGTGTCTACGCCATGATGTCGATGCACTTCTGTGGCAGCCATACCCAAAACATGAGAACATTTGGGACCATATTGCAACTTTCAATGCTTTAGGTAGGACACGTATTGCCTTTGGCTTTTTACAGATAGTTTTTATTAAGCGAACAGTATATTGTGTTATCTTAAAGAATAATGACTGCTTTTCTTTTTAATTGCGCTTTTTTAAAATTTAAATATCAATATTCAAGCATCATGGAATTTAATCAATCTTTTTAAAGCTCTTTAGCGCCCATGTAAATAATACATATAATGGATTGTTATACATATAATATTGATTTTAACTATGAGGAAGTCATGGACTTTCTTGTGACCAAAATCGACAAAATCCACTTGACTGCGTCTTTCTCCTCCCCCTGCTCCAACTCCTCTCCTTCTGTGCCTTCCCCCACTGTCCCAAACTGAACACCTTTACCTCCATTTCTCCCCATTCCTAGCCACCATCATAATCCACCATCATAACCCACATGAAGCCTATGACCTGCTCCTTGCAGGTGGATATAATAATAATCCTTGCATTTGATATAGCGCCTTATCATGTCTTTGAGATGTCTCAAAGTGCTTCACAGAATATAGTGTAAAGTGAATTGACTATATTTTGTGGGCAAAACGCGGCAGCCAATTGTGCAAAGTAGTGTCCCACAAACAGTTGTTGATTGAAGTGACCAATTTATTATTTTTTTTTGGGGGGGGGAGTTATTAACCCTGGAAAAGCGATCCGCCAATCGACTAACAACTGGGTTCCTACTTACTGCTAGGTAAACAGAGGCGTGTGGAGTTAGGAAACTTGCCCAAAATTTTGCCTTGCTGGGTATCGAACCCAGGTCTCTCGTTTGCGAAGCGAATGGTCCAGTACCTGTAACTGAGCTACAGGACTCCATATAGTCAAAGTGTCGCTCACTTCTGGTACTGTCCCCCTCCTCTTCAAACCCCAGTCATCAATCCCTACCTTTGATCCCTTCAATCTCCCCGACTACCGGCCCATCTCCAACTTGCCCTTCCTATGCAAATTCCTGGAATATATTGTTGCTATTCAACTTCACACCACCTTTACTTCCATTCCCAGCTTGAGCCCCTCCGGTCCGGTTTCCACCTTGCTCACAGCACTCAGAATGCTCTTGTCAAAGTCACTACTGACGTTGTCTGTCTCCAAGACTAAGGCTCCCTTTGCCTCCTTGACCTTTCTTCCACTTTTGACATGTGGACCTCTCCTCGATTGTTTCTCCTTCTCATCCATTTCTGTGGGACTGACTCTCCTTGTTCCAATCCTACTTGGCCCACTAGCTCCACTTTGTGTCTTCCAACAGTTTATCCTCTGCCCTGACATGATCGCCTGTGGAGTACCTCAGGGCTCTACCCCTAGTCCCTCCTTTTCCTCATCTACATGCTTGACAACATCATCCGCAGACATGGGGTTAATTGCATCATATATATGTATGACACCCAAATCTACTTTTCGACATCTAGTCTTATTACAGGTTCACGTCCATTATCCAATCCTCGTCAGGCTCCTAACAGATCAATCAAGTTTCACCCTTAAAAATAAATCCCTTTATGCCCTACCAACTCCCTATTTCTGTGGCTTTCTCATACTCCATTATTCTGCTTGTCATTCCCCCCCCCCCTTACTAACTCAGCTCTGCTGTGCATCCCCTGCCCCCTCCACACTACTGTCGGTGGCAGAGCCTTCGGTTATTATGCTTCTAATTTCTGGAACTCCCTCCCTCTGCGTTGCCACCTCATCCTATGATCACCCTTACCCCTTCCTTGCTCAGCGTCTGACACTCACTGTGACACATTCTGAGATCCTATGTGAGAAGAGAGTTTTAGAAATGAAAATTGTTGTGTTCTATGGTTTCATATCAAGCTTTACACAACTGGCAGATCCAAGGACAGGGGAATGATTGGAATTATAAAATGTTGGGATTAGGTCAAATATTATTTGTTTCATGAAGCTAGCCTTTTTATTATGTGTGCAGTTCTCTTCCCTTCCCGCCCCACTCCCAATCTGCTATCTTACAGTTATCTTCATTACAATAATGTAGGTGTCAAATCCCAGTGGTTTCAATGATCTTCAAGTGCTACTAGGAACATTTAGTTTTATTATTTGCACTATCTCAGTAATATGCTTTTAGCATTCTACTGCCAAGTCGGAAGCTTGCACTTCGTGAATGACCTGCTGAGTCCAGGAAATAGGTAGACTGACAAATGAGTGTGATTTACTTCCCTTCCCCAACCCAGAATACTCAGATCATGGAGTAGTTTGTGCTTGTGTAGAATTTGTGTTGATTTCCTTTCTTGAATTGTTTCGGTTTACTTTGTTTTTTTCTAAAATAACTCAGTAGTTCCATCACTGTGCCTATTTAATGAAGTGAAACTCTCTGCTATTCCAGGGTATGTTCAAGCATCTAAAACTGAGAAGAAGTTTTCAACGTGCGCTCCAAACTACTCCTACGCTGCCCTGTGTGAATGTTTGCGACGAGTATTCATTTATCGCCAGCCTACACCTGTCGAAAGCGTACTTTACAACAGGAAGGAGGCACGGCGAGTGGGACAGGTCGCCAAGCAACAGGTTGCCAGCCTGGAAACCAATGATCCAGTCTTGGGCTTTCAAGCTACAAATGAGAAGCTGTTTGTTTTAACAACCAAAAACTTATTTGTAATCAAAGTAAACATAGACGATTAGCACTCTTCGGATGGTTTTGAGGATTTGTAGTGTACTATGTAAAGCAAATTGTTAGTTTAGTTATTGACCAATAATGGAAATGCTCAGTGTATAGTGTGTATGTGTTTGTATGTATGTCTGTGTATACATACAGTATACATGAACACACAGAATGACATCTGTTCCTATAGATCTGGACACCTTAGAGGTACAGATTAAACAGATTTATTTTGAGCAAATCCATTAATGTTTGAAGTTAGTCCAGTTCAATAAGTGTACCTTTTTCAACATATAAATAAAATGGCTTCAGACTTTTGAATCTGAGCATGTTTTATTTGTAATTAAAACAACAATAACTTGCATTTACACAGCGCCCTTCATATGAGATAGCATCTCAGAGTGCTTAACAGTGATGGAGCCTGATACCTAGCTGGGGGGAGGAGGAGGTGACCTTAGACATGGTCCAAGAGGAAGGTCTTTAGGCATAATTTGAAAATGGGGAAGCAGAACACAAGGCAGAAGGATTGAGGGAAAAAGTTCCAAAGTTTGGGGGATTAGTGGCTGAAAACAAGGCCGGCAGCGATGGAGTGGAGGGGTAAAGAGACGAGCAAGAGGCTGAAGCCAGCCGATCGGAGTTGGGTAGTGGGGTGGGGAATAAGCAGGTAGAAGGTGCCAGGACATGAAGACTAGTGTGAGGATCTTGCAATTGATACGTTCTGTGATAGGGACCCAGCGGAGCCTGGAAAGGACTAGTGTGATGGGGTACGGAGTTTAGTGCGGGTGAGTTTAGGGGCAGCTGAGTTGAATTAATTAGATTTGGTTGATTTTGTGGAGTTATGGAGACTGGCGAGGAGGGCATTGGAATAATTGAGGCGGAAGGTGACGAAAGCATGGATGAGGGTTTTGGCTAACTGGGTGTATGGTATGATGGGAAGTGGGCAATGTGATGGAGGTGGAGGAAATTGGTCCTGATCAGGGAATAGGCGTGGGGTAGGAAGCACAGCTGGAGATCGTACTTGACATGTAGGTTACGCACAGGTTCGATGTGTCTGAAAGATAGGCTGGAGAAGTTGCTTTGGTCAGAATCACAGGAAAGAAGACATTGATGGGCGACAAGGAATGGCTTCCATCTTGGCTGCTGGAAGTTTGCGCTTATCCAGGCCTTGAGGTCTTAGAAGCAAGGTGACAGGACATCGGCTGTCCTAGAGTCACAGCCCGATACATTGGGTGTCATTTATCTACTGTATGTATACACATGTGGAAGTTGACCCCATGTGTGCGGATGACATTGCCGAAAAGGAGCATGTAAAAAGGAAAAGAAGGGGCCAAAGATGGAGCCTTGGGGTACACCACAGGTGACTGGTAGTAAAAACGGTTTGCAGCAACAAAATGATTAAATAGGACTCAAATCAAGCGAGTGAAGTCTCGCTAAGGTGGGCGAGGGAGGAGAGGTAGTGGAGGAGGATGCCATGATGGACTGTGTCGAACTCATCAGAGGTCCAAGAGGACAATAATAATAATAATCCTTGCATAATCCTTGATATAGCGCCTTATCGCGTCTTCGAGACGTCTCAAAGCGCTTCACAGAATATACTGCAAAGTGAATTGACTGTATATTTTGTGGGCAAAACACAGCAGCTAATTGGGCACAACAATGGTCCACAAACAGTCGTGGATTGAATGGATTTTTAAAAAAAAATCTTTGAATCACAAAGGCAGAGGGAGCCCTAATCACAGAGAGAGAGAGGACGTCATTTGTGACTGACTGAGCCTGAGGAGTGTGACTGGTTGACAGTGTCTGGGGGCAGAGGAGGGGAAGTTGAGTGACCAGCAGCTGGGTGGGGAGGGGATCGAAGCAGGAGGTGGTGGGCTTCATAAGGGTGATGATGATTGAGAGGGAGTGGGGAGTAATGGTGGTAAAATAGTTCAGGTTGAGAGTAGTGGTAAGGCGCTATACAATGTAATTTTGTATTGTGGTAGTAAACGTGCCGGAAGGAAGGCATGGGTGGTGTTTGCTAAGGGGCACGGTGAGGAAATGGAGACAGTTAGGCCAAACTGGTGAGAACATCTATTGCTATAGAAGTGCACCACTGTTTAGTGATCTCAGAGCAGTGTAACCCAGTTTGCTCTCTGTGGAACTGAAGTTCTGGCAGGGAATGGCTTTGAATCATTGCAGGTTATAAGCACCCATGCCCTTACAAAATTAAACTTAAAAACAATTGATGAACACAAAAAAGTCATGGTTGTGTTACATTTTTATATTGCCAAATTCCCTGTGGCTGTGGTTGTCCAAGAAGACATTTTGTTAGCAGTATCACACCTTTGGTTTTGTATAATAATAATCATCATCTTTAAATTTGATATAGCACCTCATCACATTGTTTGAGATGTTGTTGAGACAGCTTCACAGAATATACTGTAAAGTGAATTGATTGTGTTTTTTGTGGGAAAAACGTGGCAGCCAATTGCACACAGCAGTGACCCGCAAATAGTCGTGGATTGAGTGATCAAATTATTTTTTTTTTTTGAAGGGATTATTAACCCTGCAAAGCCATTCGCCAATTGACTAACAACTGGGTTCCTATTTACTGCTCAGTAAACAGAGGCATGTGGAGTAAGGAAACTTGCCTAAAGTTTCGCCCTGCCTGTGTATATAGTATTGATGTACTGTGCTGAATCGCAGACCTGCTTAGCGTTGCTTGAAAAGCCTAGATTCATAGAACACACCATTTCAAGCTTTTGTGGCAGACATCTATGCAGGAAAACAGCTTCGGAAAATTGCAAAAGGCATTAGGGAAAAAAATAAAGTGTATAGCTCATCTAAGTATCCGCATGTCAAAAAAGCGCCTCTCTGCAAGAGGTTCGTACTGAATTTAGAATAAATCTAAATCTGCAGTCTTTTTTTCTCAAGTCTTAAAATATCAGGACTGGTTTCAGAATAGTTATTAGCATGAATCACCAACCAGCATTGTGCTGAAATAGTAACAGTGCTTTGTTCTGCTGTTTCTAGACCTTTACCCATCAATGTCTCAACCATAATCGGACTATCTATGTTCAGGCAGTGGCTTCAGGATGCACCCTCCAGGGGAATGAGAAATTGTTCTTGTTTATTCAATGCCAATATTCATTTTTGCACTCATTTTCTCAGTTGAAAATAATTATTTAAACTTTATAGAATCTTTGTTGAGGCCATATTTGAAATGGGATTGGGTGGAGGGTTACAATCAGAGTTCCTTAAAAGATCACTTGGATAAGTGGAGATGCCTTCAAGTAATCAAAAATAATCTTGCTCTTACCTCTGTAGGAATGGGAATCCTTAGGAACACTTTAGAAACATTTAGATAGTCACGTACAAGTTTACGAGAGAGTGCCCTTAGGACTCCCTGACTCACTAAGTCAGACATCAGCCATGCATGAAATTGATAAATGGATAGCACTTTCCAATTGGGCACTTCAATTTTATATAGACTGCAAAAAGACTCCTAACAGGACTACCTTTCTTTTCTTACTCATCATATTCTTCTCAAAGTGATGGTTGTTCTCAATACAAGAACAACAACTTGTATTCATATAGTGCGCCTCACGCAGCGGAGCACCCAAGTGAAATACCTGAGTCTGACTTTATATCAAATCCTGTTTTAGCTAGTTAAACTCCATCAGTATCTGAAAGCACACTCCAGTGCCCACAAAGCTTGACTCTTGCCAACCTGCGCTTAATAATCTCCAGAACAGGTAAGTAATGTTTCTCTCCAGGAAGAGACTGGCATTCCATTCAGGCACATCAAAATTTACATGTAGGTGGTATGCATACGCCAAACCTATCAGACCTCAAATGTCCTGATTCTGTTAGTCATAATTCTGTGATTCAAAAACATAATTATTGGTGGTCATCAATCCCTCTAGTTCAACCGTTTTAATGTTTCTGGCATTTATGTATTTAGCTACAGCTAATTTTGTTTTCTCTGTCTGGCTTGTCTGGTCTTGCTATCTACCTTTGATCTTTTTGTTATTGATCTAATTTGCCTTTTTTTTGGCTGTTACGCTCTTCACTCCGACCTTTAATCAATCTTTCCCATTTCCTGATTATCAGCACTCCTTAAATTTGTACCAGTACATTTACTCACCTCCAAATCTAGTTTAAATGAATCCCAATTGCTACATTTATCTCCTGTATGTTAGCTCAGCTCGCCATCTAATTAGGTGTAGACCATCCTTCTTATGAATGTACATTCAACTTGAATTTTGCAACTAATTCGATTCCTGTGTCCCCAAGTATATTCGATTAATTAAGAAATAAATAATCTGAAGGTAAGATATAAGATAACCATGTAAATGATTAACCAACCTGCAAATTAGACCCCATTGTTCCAGCAGATGATTTAAAAAAGTGAAGAGCAAGTTTTCCAATTAATAGTAACATGAAGATTGGTATGAAGGTATCATTTTCATGTGATTTGATGGTTTCTCATTGAGAGTGTTTTGTCTATTTTTAGGATATCTGCAGAGTGGCCAAATATAACATTCCATACAATTACCTCATTCATGTAATCTGCTCTGAACCATAGAAAGCATATATTGTAGGATATAGAATTGTGAGGATGAGGAAAAACAAAATGCACCCCCAGATCAAATAAATATTTTTATGATTTGTAAGTTCCAGGATTTCCCTTAAACTAGTAGCTAATAACCCTATAACAATGAATCTTTGGTTTTGTATCAGTCTGGTAGAGGGATTTGCAGCTCTTAACAAACAATACTCCCTTAGACAAACAAACAGAAATAAAAAATATTCTCCTGAATCCGTTTACTAAGTTTTTGTAGGTGCTCCAGAATCCAGGAATAATAATATAATCAATTTTACAGTATGTGATATAAAACCCAGAAAAGACAATTGCATTTCATCCAACCAGTTATTCAACACATTAGCCAAAGGATTTCTGTCCCTACTTCTTGTTATTCACAGTAATATTAACTTTATAATTAGAGCAAAACTGGATAGGATCAAGAAAAGTAACAAGTGATTCATTGTCTCTAACATATAGGTTCTAGGGTAGAGAAATCAGCATCTCAGTGAATTAAATATCCTGGCCAATATTTTATTCCTCAGATAACATTGTCATTCACATCATGCATGGCTGCAAATGGGACATTGCTGTGCACAAATTGGCTACCATGATTGCCTATAATATACAATCACTACAATATCCTGTGAAGCGCTTTGAGATACCCTCACAACATGAAAGGGGCTATATCAATGTAAGGATTGTTATATTAAGAAATGGATCCATATGAGTTTTAAGGATTAATGAGTGAAT